ATCCATCACTAATTAAAAGTCTAATAAAAAATCTTTTAATTTTAAAAAGCCCAACATCAAATTGGATTTGGAGGGTTTACCGTTTATGTGAACTGACGGACCCCAAACAAATAGAAACACCCACTATAAATAACTTATGGAATTCACCCAACTTATACACGATTTGCCTAAAAAAGAAGCAGCACACCATATTTCTCCATAAAAATCACCGTTTTCTTTGAAATGCTTCCATGGAAGTCTACTGGGATCCTTCCTCAAACAGACGATTGCAGGTATATATTTCTCTCTTCCTCTCTATTTTCGATCTCTGGTTTTCAATCTTCTGATACGTAACCAAGTTTTACGTCATTTGGTTCGATCATATAGTTGGGGGATATTAGAAGAAACGTTTTCAGCAACCTGACGGACCTTAGTCATCGGCAACCTCCAAAAACGTCGTCTCCGAGAGGAATAGAAGGAAGAAGCTGAATGTTAGGGCAGTGGTCCCTAATATTAGTAAGGTATGATTTGTTGACTGCACTATGCGGATCTTCATCTAAGCCCATTGCTTCTCCATTTCCCCTCACGTTGCTGCTGGTCCATTTTGTCAATACATCTCATCTGGTACCTTCCATTTTCTTTTCATTCTTTAATTAGAGACGAAGAGGAATCTCATGCTTACATACTTGTAACAAGAGATTTGCTATATTAAATAGAGGTGGATTCTATGATCTTCTTTTTGGTAGGATTTTGTGTGTAGATAGAGGAAGAAAGTTTTATGTGTTAATTCAATATATGCATATTAGGTGTTTGATAAAATACCTCAATGATAATCAACACTTTTATTTTCTTTCCCAAACCCATAGGCTTCAAAGTTACTGTTGTTTTCATGGGGTCTTGATCTTTAAAACCACCCAAACTATTTTGCATATTTACTGTAACTTGGGGTGTTGTGGAAGAGAGTATATTTTCTTGAGGTCTTCCCTTTTACTTCTCTTACCATTAGTATTGTTTATTTGTGAATGAGCTACTACTTGTACCACCTATCATGAATTATATATAAATGTTTTGATCCAAGGTTTTTATTTCACAATATGATATGGCAATTTATTTGTTGTAATTTATATTTGCAAAGCCATATACATAAAAGGTAATATATTACTTCAAATCGTCATATATAATCGCAAAGCAAGTAGCTGTCAGTAAGGTATTTTGGGTTTCATTTTTGCTTTTGTTGTTTTCTACTTCTCTCTGG